GCGGCGTGCATGATCCAGACTTCTAAAGGGACACTGCTGCAGTGACATAGGGGGCATGCTTGCTGACTGTGAAGTTTTATTAGACATCAAGAAATCAAATTTGCAATTTGGGAATGTTGCAGTTTAAAGCTGGATTCAGTGCACATTTGTTAAAGTTCAAGTATAATGTGGGAGTATTCATTTCATTTTATACCAGTATTTTTATGACAAATTACAGCTTTTATAAATGCTAAAATGAAACCTATCCTCTAATCATAATGAAACTGAATAGTTCCTTGGCTTTAAATCTAAACAAAGCTTTTAACAAAGAAATTTTTTTACTATGAATCCTGATATGATTTCCAATTTGAACTGCTGTTTGTATTGTTCATTCATACCTTCCTGTTTGTGTGAATTCTTGCCTCTTTTTGACCAGAGTTCTCCTGTCCTTCATTGTTCTAACAACATAACAATGCGCTTCCATGGGGACCATGTCCCCCCCCCAAAAAAGAGCGGTATTTTAGTTTTGAAAAAAATAAACAGAAAGGTTAGTTTGGGAGACTTTTTCATAATTTCCTTTCATTCCAAAAGCATGTAAATACAGTAGCCCCAAAATTAACTTTCACTCCTCAGAATGGCCAGAAAAGGTCTCATAAAGAAACTCCCACATATTGCCCCTCCCCTCCAATTTTTTTACCCTTCCCCCACTTTGAAAAAGTGGTTCTGGATCCACCGTTTTGTTTTTAAATGAGTTTTTTCACCAGTGTTATAAAACACTGTAATGCATATTTACCGTGTACAGGCAGTGCTCAACACCTGTCATAGATTGATGTGTTACATGCTCATTGATCAGGTTGGATTAACTGTAAGCTCTGTGGGTTCTTGCTGTTCGTCTCTTGCATATGTAGCATTTTGTACACCGTACTTGTACGTACTGTACATGTACCGGTAACTGTCAGTAAACTGTTCATTACATGTACTGTTACCCTGCAGTAGGCATATTATCCAGCCATGCTTAATGGTTGTCTGGGCTAGGATCAAGTAATTTACATGTATACATGTAACAGTACCTGTCATGTTATCATGTTCATTATTGGTCCGTGAATGGTAGGTTTTATTTTGTTAAGAACATGTACATGTTCACGTACATCAATGATCATTTCCTAAAAAGCTTCCCTCTCCTCAAAAGAGGTGGCAATGTATGTACAAGTGGTGCTTCAACACTGTTTATGGCTTTTTCCAGAAACATGACGTAAGTCTGTTAAAATATTGCACACAGATGGCTAAAACCACAGAGCTGCCGGTACAGAATGACACCACAAATTCATAACCAGTCTGAATGTCAGTGGTTTTTATTCACACTTGTGACCTCATTCGGATGAGTAACCTACCGGGTACCACCTTACATGTACAAGTCACATTGGATCATATGCAGATTGACTCTCATAAGACTGCCTATCCGGTTGTACCGGTATTTAAACCCCCGACTGCACCTTTGAGGACGTGATCTGCCACCTGTTCCCCTACACATGCTCGTAGCATCTCACCGTACTGGTACCATGTCAAGCATTCCATAATAGTCGTCCACACAAAGAAGGAGCGAAATTATAAAACATTATGAGTAAATTTCTAATGGAGAACAACGAACGATGAGCTAAACAGAGAAAGTGGGGGAAGCAAATTGTTTCAAGTCCACTTCGGGCCTATTTGAGTCTGTTTCCCTCCATTTACAATGTACGGTATAGTGTACCTAAAGCTTTCAAGTACCTCGGGGAGTACAGTATTTTGGCAAACAGTGGACATGTAGATCCCCCCTCCGCATGTCACCATTCAAAAGGGATGCAAAATTTCAGTGTAATAAGTATCAGTGCGTGTAGTGAATTTATCAAACGGCATAAAGTACGTGTATGTGAAAAAAAAAGGACTGCCCTGTGCACTGCTCGGTGGATTATCCCCGGTCGTGCCAATGCCCATGGGTAGGACACAAAATGGCTTAAGTGGATTTGTGGCGAGCGGGGCAAACGGGGACTCTCTCGCTGTCAACACGTTGGTAGTGCCTGCTCAGAATTCAGTCGGTGTTTGCATTAAGTTGTGAGATTTGGAATCATGCCTAAAATCAGAGTGAGATGTCACAAACAGAAATGTGGCCAGTTTTGGGCGCATTTCACATGCAAGAGTCCAAGTTCCAAGTTTGAAAAAAAATGCACAGCGGCATCAGTGCTGATTAAAGAGAGGATTTGACGGTTGAAATCCGTTCATTTGTGTAGAATGCTAGAGAAAGTGGCTTCAGTCTGTTGTGTTATTTGCAATAGGTTTTGTTTGGAAAATTTGATGTTAGGAACATTAGCGTTGTACTTCACTGGAGCTGAAATGTTTTTTCAACTTTGCCTTTTTGCAGCTCAAATCTTGTTCTTGCCTCAACCTCAAAAAGGTTTGTTTGCATACGCCTCCAAACGTGCTGATGATGCACTTTTGTGTTTTGAACAAGTGGGTATGTGGGGATGGGAGGAGTTTTGCAAGTTTCACACTCACAGATATACATGTACATACATTGTACATTATGTGGCTGTATCCTGAACAAGTCCCTGAGTTGGGAGCCCTTTGAAAACGAAATTGGTTGTCTGAGCAATGCTGTGTGGGGTTAGGCAATAGTGCTGTTGTGTTGGCTGTGGTTGCCTGAGTGGTGGCTTGCATGCAGGTCACACGAGACCGAGGACTCCGGGTGGGGACCCGAGCAGTTTAAAGTAAGAATGCCGTCCCCTTTCCAGCATTGCCCGGCCAAGAGCCATTGGAGGATCTTATGAAAACAGTAGTCTGGTGCTACTTGAAGGATTTGGCGAAAGAGGAACCTTCTTTTTTTTGGTGGGGACAGACTTTGAGGAAAGGCGAGTACATATGTAAAGAGGACCATGACCTCAGAATGTCAAGTGCATTCCAGGTATTCATGGGTATTACTTCTTATGCTGTGTGAAACATGGACATTTATCAAAATCTGACAAATGTTATTAAAAGTAATATTTCAGATTGAAAATCAACCACGTGTGGGAGTGTATACCGGCAAATTACTGGTACAAGTCTGAGCCCCCTCTATTTTCTTTGACAAAAGCAATGTTTCCAGTCTTTGAAATTTTCAAAATTTTTCTCCAAATTCACAATAATGTAGGTATTTCACTCTTAAAGACTGAAATTTCCTTTTTGGCTTAAAAGCATCAGAATACCAGGTGTTTCTGAGAATTATTCTAAATTGGGTTTGTTCCAGCTGACCACACCTGTCCGCTTTACCATATTGCATTTAATCAACTTAAAATCTACTGTACCCCAGAATCTCTATATTTGTCAAAAGGGAAAATGCATTCTGGGGGGGTTAATACATGTACATGTACGTTTCAAATATTTGGCCACAGTGCAGTAAAGATGAAGCAACGACCGGAAAAGGATTTCCGATCAATAGTATCTTGGAAACCGTGTACACACATTAATGCAGTTTGAGATGTGGACTGATGTAAACAAGACAAGGTATTGCAACATACAGAGGTACCGTATACTACAGTACTGCCTTTAATTTTGGATGATTCATCCTGTGAGCATATTGCCTAATACAGCTACGTGTATGATGTATTACATGTACATGTACATGCATATTAATAAGGTCACTGGCTCTTGCAGAGGTGCCTGCAGTTACAGCAAATCTATCATTTTACCATTACTGTTGACATGTAATCATCCATGTTGTACAATATCTGTAAATGTTTATTCAGGGTATTTTACATGTAGTCACATTAGTTTGATAAATGTGCAGTTTTCGAACATCTGATCAGTTGAAATTGTGAATAAAAGCATGAATCATCCTCCAACATGTCAGTTGAAGGTCCATTATTCACTACTCTATCGGTTTTTCTTCACCTTTGCTTCATCTTGCTTCTATGCATCAAGCAATATCACGTGCCTGTTTTCACCAGCGCAGTAGCAAAATGGGAAGGGAACTTGTGGAAAAAATGGAACTTTCTTTCCAAATGTTGCGAATGTAAGCAGGCAAACAAAAAATACAAGCTTATAGGTGTGAAAAATTGTTGAGGTGTTTTGTTTTTGTTTTTTCCCTTTTTTTTTTAATTTTTATATGTGTTTTTCTAACTTACCGATATCAATTTTACGGTCGTAAAGAAAAATTAGGATTGCTCATGTATCAGAAGCAGACTTAGTTTTTGGGGGCCTCAAAAGTGCATTTACAAATGTAAATCCAGCCGGGCTGGCCAATCAGCTGTTTTGGTAGAGAAGTTCAACTGATGCAAATGGGCATGTGTGGTGGGCTTGATCATTTCTTTAACCCCAACACTCCTCAATCCTCCAACAGGTGAAGGATTGAGGAGTGTTAGGGTTAATGTTACATGAACTCAATCTGGGCCATCCAATTTTCATGAGTGCCAGCTGCAGTGCAGTTTCCACTGGCCCTGCTGGTTACCAAGAGATGGGAGTTAATTTTGACCCCTGAATTCGTATCAGCCAGGTTTGTTATTTTTGTCTGTTTACATGTAAGTGCAGTGACTATTTTTTACTGTCAAACGTGAAAAGGAATCCTTAAAAATCAGCACAGAGAATGCAGCATCGCGCTACCAAACCATTGAACTACGTGTAAATGCAGTAAAAAAAAATGCAAATGAGATTCTGATGTTTTCATAATGAACGTGGCAAGTTACGGTAAATAGGTTTGCAGTCGTACCATACCAGTATCTCTTCTATGAGTACGGTATGTGTGGTTCTGAAAATAAACAATAGAGTACAGACGTTTGCCTTAAAAAGAAAAAGTTAGGTCTGTATAGGACAAATGCAGGCCAGATACATGTGATAAACTAAAATGTGGCTTTAGGGCAATGGTCTCACTGCTTGAGGCATAAGATTAATGTGTACTGTAGAAGTATACGTACATAGTAATGTCTCATATGTACATGTCATCCAGGCTTGAATCATTCAGAAGCATGAACTTCTGTGTGCCCGTGTGAAAAAAAATCATTTGTCATTCTCACCTGTCATTGCGCAATACACTCTTCCCAATCAATTGAAATGAATGGGACTTCTTATTATTTCCTGTGATCTGTAATCTGGATTTGCACTGTCCAAGGCTACTCTGTTATGAAGTCAGCCACCAGATCACAAGCATGACAAGGCCAGCACCTCAGTCAGAGTTGCATGTATTTTTATGAATGATCCCCTCTCACCCCCACAATTGATCCACTGGGGACATTCCTTGCTGGCAAGTCCCGCCCACTTCCCTTATCAAAGGAACTTTTCTATTCTTGGTATTATTGACTGGCCAGTGACAAGGCCAGGACCTTGCCAGCTCTGCCAATCACATGGGTAACAGACTATGATGCCATCAGCCAGGCCCTTGGTCATGGCCAGTCAGGGTTCTCTTAAGGCCCAAACATACATGTACATGTACTGGGGCATCTTCATTTGCATACATACTGTACATGTATTGACTTTTTTAGCAGGTGAGTGTGTGTGTATAGTGGGTGTGCTCACTGGGAAGGTGAGCACATACAGGCAGTCTTTACACTCTTATTCATTCACTGACCTTGACTCCCTTGGAAGTGTTGAGGATTGTTTTTAGTATTTCCAAAATGCGTGTAATTTCCTGCCTTGCCTATAGTGATCAAGAGGAACCTATACTGTACACATTGAATTTTTTCACTGGTAAGTTTGATACAATGGTAATTATACCATGGTTAGAAATTATAATGGAGCCAAAAAACTGGTACGGTAATGTAGGCCCATGTGTGTTTTGATTATTGTTTTTATTTATGTACATACATATAGATATACATGTACATACATGGTATGTACATACACTGTACCGTAACCAACACATGTTCATACTGTAGTACATGTACATCATACATGTAGTTTGTACCTACCTGTAGAATGTGCATTCGTGTAGGCCTACAGGATAGTGCAATTTGATAGTGTACCCCAGTCTGACATCATTTAGGGCACGGGCGCGTGTTAGTTCACTCGCTGGTTCTGGTATAATGCCTTTTACACACAAAATGGTGCGTGGGATTATTTTCACATTGGGATTTTTTTCACTTTGGTGCTCTATAGATACCGATGCGCATATGTTCATTCTTATTTTTTACTGTTCAAAATAGTTGCATAAATTATCCAAACTGGAAATGTAAACTGTCATAACATCCTTGTGCTCCTCAGATTTGTCACTCGGACTTGTGGTGTTAATCATATTAAGGAAGCTTCACAGGCTGCGACCATAGGCTTACAGTAAAATAATAATCAACTTCACAGTGTAGAAGAATTGTTCATAAGACTAAGAGATGGTACAATGTACATGTAACTACTATGAGAGAAAGGTAAGTAAACCTTATCAAAACATCAATTAGGTGTTTCAAAATATTTTGGGCCTCTAAATATTTGATTTATTGGTAATTTGAGCCAAGTGTGGTTCCCATATTGCACACTCAGATCAGGGTAGCTTTTATTGGGTGAATCCTCAGTAGCACTCCTGTGTTGCTCAACAATAGGTGCACATGCACCTGTACTTTGTCCTCAGCGAGTCATGTGATTGTGATTAAATTTCCATTCCAATCAAAAACATCTGTCGTGTTTGGTATCAACAAAATCTTGAATTTGTTTGTCCCCTGACCCAGGTACAGCTCTGCTTAAGTAACACTGTCCTTTTTCAGTGTTTGGTTGTATAACAAGTTTATGGCTTTTGCAATTGTAACAATATGTGACTGAGTCTTACAAAATGAGTCACACTCACCAGAGCCACTTTTGAGTTAGTACCTGTGTTAATGATCTCGCAAGGTGTGAATCAACGGGAACCCTCATCATTTTTGATAAACATAATGGCCATTTTCATCAGGATGTGTGATGTATCAAAACAGCTCAGGTTTCTCTTTCTATCAATGAAAACAAATACAAAAAAAATTTTTAAAAATTGATATGGAACTCCTTTTCTTGGGTGTCCAGTCTGATAATTTTCTTGCCTCTTGCCCTGCTGTCATTCCTGCTTCTTAGAAATTATTCAAGTTTGGCTTTATAGCTGTCTGGGCCTCCTGGCTCTGTTTATGTGGATTTTTAATGTCGTTATCTGGAGAGGCTGACAACATGATATTACAGAAGTTCCATGTGTTTATCCTGCTGCATTGTTTTTCTTCAGATTTCCAGCCGAGCTTTTTCTTCATTAAATGAGAAATGCCAGCCTAGCATTTGTAAAATTAACACAGTTGCTGGCAAGTAACATCCTAGAGTCCATTAATGCAGACAGCTGTAGTGTAACAGAAAACCTTGACTGAAAGTGGTATGCCAGGTACACACGGGGACCAGTTGGTATGCAAATATTTATGTTAATGAGTTTACCATCAGAAGAATCATTGGCACGTTTGAGGCGGGCCACTCGTGTTCTAACAGTCTACCAGCCAGTCTGTGATATTGCGCCTTTCCTGGGTGCTGAGTGGCCAGAATATGCAATTTTAACATGTTACCTTTGGAATTGCTCAGGTTTCTGAACACAGTGGTTTATCACACTGGTACCAAGTAGTTTGTCAGCGCAAACAGGCCCGTAGGAAACCGTTGTATTAGATTCTGTATTTTTTACAGTGCGTAATGCTGTAAAATGCTGAAAATGTGCCATTTGCTTGTGTGTCCTGAAAAAAAAATCACAGTGTTTGTATGAACAAGTCAAGACTAGAACCAGACTTGAATGCTCCAAGCCACCAACTTGTGCTTCCACCTTTGATGTGCCTGCTCCCTGTTCACCAGTCATTGTCACCCTCCTCAGCTCATTCATCATTGTTTGGTTTTCAGGGAAACCAGACAATAAACTGAAAGTGGATTGCAGATTGTTCAGATAGAAAGGGGAAGAATGGACAGTGGTAATGGAGCGTGTCCAAGACCCATTGAGCTAAGAACACACATCTTTTGGCTGGAGAGGATAATTACATCCGATCCCAAATGGCAGTGCAGATCCCTGCCTGAACTGTTTGCCTCTTGTAATCTTGTTTGCTGGGAGTCCCTTTCAGGGAACTGTTTACAGTCCTTGAATGAACTTTGGCAGTGCAATTCCATGCTGGGATTTTTTTTTCACCTTAAGCCCCGCCTTCATCCAGTGTCTTCCGGTGGTTGATTGGACAGTGATGAGATCATTACTGAGTGGCTGAACCAATCGAATTTGGGATAATAGCCCCCTCCCCTGATGAGTATTGATCTCTACTCAATTCTCTTCATGCCGTGAATACAAGTGTTTTGATATCACTCCAGCTGCAGGTACTTCTATGCAATTCTGCTTTGTCATACTGGTACCATAAGTCTGTGGTTTATCACATGATGTATGGTTACATGTACACATGTACAAGTATTATCCTCATGATGCAAATGCACAGAAGACAACAGTCCTTGATACCTCACTGATAGGCCTTTTTCATCTCATTCACTGTACCAACACGTGGAGCTCCATGCTTCACGTCGGTAGGCCTCATGTACATGTATTTACATACATGTTCCAATAATGTACCTGTACTTCAAGTACCAGTACACGTGGCATCATTGAAGGCTCGTACATGTACATGCTAGAGAACATCATCACAGGTAAGGTATTCAAATACCAATTTCCCTGCGACTGTGAGAGTTAGACCAGACAGGAGTTTACTGACTGTACAAAGTACATGTACATTACTAGTATATGTATGCCTGCTCTGTGCATAAAGGGTGAGATGTCCACACGTTTTAAACCAAAAAAGTTCCAAATATGTTTACAGATTTTCCCAAATGTTTAAATAGATCCGCCTCTTTGATTGAAGCAATCTGGCATTTATTTTTTTTTTATTGTAAACAGTGCCTGTAAAAGGTAATATGATATTTTGGAATACTTTTTCCCTTTCAACATTCATGTACATGTACTTTTTGAGAAAAAAAAGTGGATTCTAAAAAAAAGATTGCCTGTATTAAGTGCACCAACATCAATCTATATACATTTGTATTGGTTGGACCATGTGCATTGTTGAACTATATAATTATGCATAAAACAAGGAGGTACTCATGGGTGGAGACGTCCTCTGTAAAGTGTTGGCAAAACGGGAATGGGAAAGTTTTCTTAACATTTTTCAAATGAAGTATAAATTCCCACCGCTAGTGAGTGAACGTGTTGATTCTCAACATGAATTACTGAAAACCCCATCTACACTGGTCGTTAGAATTCTGCCTCATGTCTGTGTATGCCCTTGTGGGAGAATTCCTGCTTATTGTTGAACTTCAGAAATATTTTTATTTTGAAGATAAATAGACAGGTTCCTTTGGATGTTAAATGTTCATACACTTTAGGTACATGTACATTAATTTAATACAGCTTTCAATACTGGTACATTGTACACTGGTTCTGTTTGAGCTTCTAAAAAAAAAAGTGTTGCCGGCTGTACGTGTCGTTTCCCAGACAAGAAGTGCAGTCTAACCAGTGACTGCATCTCTCTCCTTTAATACACTTTAAAATATTCCTCTTGGCTTCAAAACATTGTTGTGTGTTTTATTATTAATTCCACTACAGCTTGGGCACAATATGACATCCCTGTGGCTGTGTACATACGTACATGTACACCTGTCACACTGATGCATTACAGCATTCAGTTGTTGCCACTCACCATTGAAAGGAACAACCCACCATCAGTAACAGATTGTTTTGTCAAACTCTCCATGCGGCCCCTTGGTTTTGTTTTGTTTTGTTTGTATCTACTTGGCAGTCTTTCAACATTTCGTCAGGTGCCCAGCAGAAGGGTGTAAGTGCACTTACGCCCTCTTGCTGGGAAACATGATCACAGCAGAAATAATGTTCCCGGCAAAAGGGCATAAGAAACACACAGTCTTTATTTAGTAAAAGCAGATATAATTTACTACAAAATCAACCTGGGCTGTACAAAAAGCAACCTTTGAACAACTAGAGGACTTATTTTTTTTTTTTTTTGGCCAAGATATCTTTATATTTCATTGAAATAAAACAGTTGCATAATTACATCCTTTTGCTGGGAAACCTTTTTTCTTTGCAGTGATCATGCTTCCCAGCAAAAAGACCTAAGCGCTTATTCCCTTCTGTCAGGCACACGACGATTTACTGGTCACTCTGTATACTGTGAGATACAAGGTGTTCATGTGCACAAATTATCGGATAAATAATCGGATGCTAAAATAGATTGATTTGGTATTCAGTTCAGAATAGATTTAGGTGGACGGCTGGCTGTGACGACAGTGACACTGCTCTGATGGAGCTTGTTGGCAAGCTTTATGCACTGGAATTTTCTGACGGATGTAGAGTTTTTTTCAAAAGGGACCTGTTTGATCCAGCCAAGGCCTGCTTCTAGACCAATGTCCATTTAAAATGTAGTGTCCCGTTTATGCCTTCTGAAGATTTTAGATTAGAGGAGAGCTTGTAATGTAGGCTTTGGGAACTCACTGGGAGTCTTGTGAAGTATGTAATGTCTTGCATTCATACAGGTTAGTTCCTTTCACAGATTTATCCAAAAATATCTCTGTGTATTATTGCTTTGGTTTGGTTAAAATCTAAAGTTTTGGACAATGGTTTGTCATTGGTTCATGGCAGCAAGAATCCAGTGTGGTTGGGTAACTTGTTCACAAGTCCAGTGCTCTAAATGGCTCTGGTCAGAACCAGGGTCTAGAGCCTTTACACGAGGAATGCCAAAAATACTGGCTTGCCATTTACAAATAGATGCTACATGTACATTTGTGGGAATGATGATACATTACACATGTATATGCCATGCCAATCCACATCCAATCCAACATGTGTCAAGTGGCCAACCCTAATTAGTGAACCGCTGTGTCTTCCGACCTGGTTAGTTGAGAAAGAAGGCATTAAGGGAAGAGGTTTTGTTTTCAGCTATTCACAGTGATGACTTGCCCTCTGGTGCTACTTGGAGGGGGACCCATGGGCTAGAGCTCTGCCGATAAGCCATTTGTGGGTTAAATTTGAACAAAATCTGGCACACTGAGTCATCTGATTGCACACAAACGTAGGAATTTGAATTCTCCATGCTAAAAACACTGTTGATATCCCTCGTGAATCGGGGGCAAGCTTTTGCATAGCAACCACCATCTCTGGAATGGACTGGTTCCTTTGTGCGCTTCTTATCCATCGGAAACAGTTTACTGGTGCAAGACTTCTGTAATGTATATGTAACTAAGCAAACGAATTGCCCTGAATCATGAGGTATAGCAACAGTGTTTTTAGTATGGAGAATTCAAATTATGTTCACATGAATGTAAAGAACTCAGTGTACCAGATTTTCATCAAATTTAACTCGCAAAAGGCTTACATATTTGCCTTCTACCCTTCCCATCCATCCTCACTTTTTTGACTTTAAGAATTTTAAGGAAATGATAATTCTCAGACGCTGCCACAGAGGTTTAATTAGATGGAATGGGGGAGACTAGACTAAAAATTAACCACATGTAGTTCCAGTCAGATAAAAATCTCAATCCCTATTGTAACAACAGCTCTTTCATCAGCTCCAATGTGGCCAGTTTTACTACGTCCACCATGCAGCACAAAATGATTTTAATAAAATGCAATTTTTTTTATGCCACGGGCCTTGTAAATGCACATGCAACCCCCCTCCCACTGAGAGTAATAAAACTGGTTTCTCTGGAACCAGACCAGGAGTGACGATGGATGTTTACGTTGTGGTCACACATCACATGCTCAGCAGAGGGAATAATTGTAGGTGTAGCTGTGCCTCCCCGCCATTAACAAATTGAATTGGGAAGGGCACACCGTGTTCGGAGATGGGAGGTGTACTGGTTCCTCAGCCCAACAATAGATATAACATAATCATGACCTGGCTACATGTCCCCCTCCCCATGTGTGTACCAGGGGTGTAGAGACAACCTAAGAAGTCTCTAGAGTGTTCATGAACATTTGGGACCAAGCCTCGCTGCTGTTAGGCAGGTTGGCTCATCAGATACTAAGGGGACTCCCACCTCCTGTCCAGAGCCCTTCTCGGATTACGGAGGTTGTGACTGGAGATAAGGTTGCTTACAAGTTACAGCCAGGCTTGATGGATGGGGGGGGGGATTGCGATGTCATTGATTGGACAGGCATATGGTCAGTGATTTTTTTTGTTGGGCCAGAAAACAGAAGGAAATTACATGTACTGGTAACTAATTCCCTCTTTTCTGAAATCAGAATTCAGCCTATAGAATGAACCCGAGTATTGTATGGATGCCAGTACAGTGTACAATTTTTTTTGTGTGCATGTACACATCCTTAGTCAGAATTAGAAATATCTTAAGCCACACTTTTGAGTGGCACATTGGAACTGTCTGGCATTCTACCCACGTAATGTCTGTATTGACTTGGGAAGTTGACTTTTAATGTCGAAACGGAAAGCTTAAAGTGTTCTTTCTGCTTCGAATGGAAAATACATAGTGTACATGTAGATGTGTAGAGAAATCAGGAAAGATTCACGTGTGATGTGGAGACTGTCGCTTCCGCTGTTTGCGTCAAACAGAAGTCACATGCAGTCTTTTCAAATGTAGAGATTGCATACATGTACATGTATATTCCTGAGACAAATAGCCATTTGAAGCATGTACGTAGCAAGTAATGTGCAGGTTAATATAACTGCTTGTTTGAATGCAAACTCTGTGCTGAATTACATAGGCCCTAGTAATCACTCATGAAAATGTAACATGGACTGTTTTTCATTGCACTCACCAAGCAGTTAAAATGGAAAGTACTGAAATAGCTACATGTACGTATGTACTTAGAAAGGAAACTCTTGTGTCCAGGAAAATGTACATTTCTTATAATAATTTCAGTAACTTTTTACAACTAAAAGTTCATTTTTATAATGTACCAATATGCCATTTAATTAAATATGATACTGCATGTGTACCTTATAAATTCACCAAATTATTTCTCAGTGAAATCAGCAGTAACAAATACTTACCAGCATGCCATTAGATTTATTGGCGTTGTCAAAATTGCTGAAGACAATCAAATACAACAGTGTCTTGTTTACATGTACATGTATGTACACGTAGGTGGTAGAACTGCATTTTATGTGAACCGAGAAGACAACATTAGTGACATTTTCTGACCCCATTTACAAATCATTATACTCCGTAATGGCCCTGTTTGGGAGTGCACAGTCACATTCCAAGCTTGCCCCAGATCTACTGGCTCTCTGGTTTGGCTAGCCTGCAGCAGTCAGGAGAATGAGCCATTTGCGACTTAATTTGGATAAAATCTGATACACTGAGTTTTTTTAAATTCACATGAACTTGAATTCTCCATACTAAAACCACTGTTGCTATACCTCGTGATTTGAGGCAAGCTTTTGCTTAGTTACACAAGAGACGGCTCGCAACAATACACTGTTCTCAATGGATAAGAATGCCACAGAGGAACCAGTCCATCCCAGAGATGGTGGTCCCTATGCAAAAGCTTGCCCCAAATCAAGAGGTATAGCAACAGTGTCTTTAGACTGGGGAATTCAAATTGATACATTTCTATGCAATCAAATAATTAACACAGTGTACCAGATTTTATTCAAATTTAACTCACAAGTGGTTTATTGGCCTCACTCACAAGTGGGCCATACTGAAAACAAGTTTAACTTTTTTTTATTTTGGCATCTTGAGAATAAAAATGAAAGCACTGAAATAAAAGATCAGTACAAAGTTTTGCCATTTATGCCGATGAAGAATTTTAAAATTCTAAGAATTATATGTCTAAATGTTTCAAGCCACATTTTGAAAATTAAAGTGAGGTGCATCTGTGGAACCAAAATAGTCTGGCACTACTCCATTCAACAGATCACACTGAATACATGTACAATGTACAGTAGATTCTCAGAACACAGTAAAAATCACTTCCCCTTGAATAAGGCCTATTGCCTTTTTTTATGCTGTCAGCTTTGACCTTTCCATGTTGTTTCCCTCCCTGATTATTAACCTAAGGCTGTCTTTGATTCCAATCAAAGTTTTGGCACCTGCTGCCCTATAAATCACCATGGAATCATGCAGGACACAGTTAATGTGGGGCTTTGAATAATGGCTGTTTGAGGTAGATGTTTGGTCAGTTGTCGGTTACCATGTTTGTCAAGATGTATTTGTGCTTGTGATTTTGCAATATAATTAATATTTTAGCACTGATTTTTGTTGAACACGAAATACATCCAAATAAGGCCATTTGCAGATCTGTGGAGCCAATGGAGGCCATGGACCCCCCCCCAAAAAAAGTGGACAAATTTTGTTCATAAAATAAAATGAGAAAAGGGGAACCTTTGAAGGGACTTCTTCATTTTTCTTCCTTGCAAAGTATGTTAAAAGCTCAAAAAGCTTGTTTCGCCCCTCAGAAAAATTTATCAATGATTACTGAACTTCCCAAATTTCCCCCTCTAAAAAAACCTGTTGGACCCCCCATTTAGTTCATCTACTTGTGCAGTGCTTGTTTCAGTGTCCATGCTCTTGAAGTTTACATGTATACATGTACATGTACTAGTATACATGTACTGGTATACATGTACTGGTATACATGTACTAGTATACATGTACTAGTATACATGTACATGTATACAAACAAGCATGTACTGGTACCGGTACTTGATTTTGAAATCATAACATTTTAATTTTTTTAAAGTTGTTTTTAGGCCCCCATTGTCCTTATGCACCTGTACATGTGTACTATTGACAAAGTCTTTTTGAAGTTCTGGTTTTGTCCCTTATTGAATGCAGTACACGTACCTTTATTTTGGTACTTTTTCCTTCATGTACCCGGTAGGTCTGCATGCTGTACATTTAATAATTTGCAGTGTTGAAAGATGGAGGGCACCAATTGGCTTTGACCTCTTAGATCTGATCTTTGTACACGTGTATGTACATGTATATTTCTCTGGTGTAGTTCATCATTATTTAAACACATCGCAATCTGTTATCACCTTTGCACAGATGCAGCTTGACCAGAGGTTGAAAACCAACTGTAAGCCGTGACTCCATATTTGGGCTTCAGCAAATATTCAATACGACTTTTGGACCTGAAGGGAACTGGCCCCTGATCTCAACCCGAGGCCGGTCAGTGAGTTACGGTGGCTGGGCGTGGGCAACTTTTATACAGCGGGAATCAAGCACACAGTCTTCAACCTTGAACCCACGCAGAAGATCCGATTCCCTCCCCATCCAGCACCTTCCCACACATGTATCAACTCAACGAGCGTGGTGCTGACGGACACACCGCTTTTCACCCCGTGAGGCATCCAGGAGCGAATCTGCACCACCCCACAATTACCGATCATCTAATCCAGTGTGCGTCACACGAGGTATATTACTGTACCAAAGGCCGCTGCTGCTGCTAGTAACAAAAAAGTGTGCGTGACATCAGTTCGTGTATATCTGTGATGTGTGTCGTGTGCGGAGATCATTGACACTAACTGTGTGCATCCATATTACATAGGGTGTGATATAGTCTTGCTGGAAATAGACTGGTTGGCTGTGTTCAGTTGTGAAGCTCCCATGTGTTGTTGTACTTACAGTTGTCAAGTAGCCTAGTGCTATCGCCTCCTGTTCGTGTACACCAGCAACCCAGCGCTTATTGTGTACTTGCTGACGTTAGCGGTTCTGCCCATCCTACCCTCAAACCCCTCATCGGATGTTTGTGTACATTGAATATGTGTTCATGCTGCACATGGTCAAGTGCCGCTGAATCCCACATGTGCTTGTTGTGGCAGTGATCAGCTGATGTACTTGACTCGACAGGTGCATACTCAGGCATTTGGTGTTCTTGCCAGACACATGTTCGGCAGGCTGAAACCTGCTGGAAACTCTGATTGTGCTGAGAAAAAAAAAACCAGCCAGCCAGCAAGCCATACATGTCTGCAAATGCACATGTTTTAACTGTCGTCTTGAAAGTGAAGTAAAGTACCGATACGGTAGTGCCCTCTCCACTCAATTGCTGCTGTTTAAACTCCAGACTGTGTCTACCAGTTGACCAGCTAGACCCCCCTCGATTTTAGCACACATGCCCCCCTTGGCTAGTGTGACTTCCTAGGTATTGTTCAGCTTCGCTCAGTTGTAGGACATGGTGAAGAAAGCCAAACACTCTCATAAGATGGGTGCAGGTAAGCTACATAGTATTTTTTGCGGGTAAAAAGGTTAATCCTGTACATGTAGTTTGTATTAGTATCTTTTTGTAATACACCGACTGTAGCCTTTTTTTTCTTAAAAGCGTGGACATGTTAACGTTATACATGTAGGCCTATTCATGTTTTTGATCCCACTACTTGAAAGTGAAAACTGGTTCTGAATTTTCATTTTGTCTTTCTCTGTTCATTGGTTAACAAAACAAGTTCAGCCGCCAGTAATCGGCACATATTTTGGGGGATAAAAGCACCCAAAGGATTTCAGCCAAGCAAGTAATGCTGAACTGGGGAGTAAGCAAAAGGATTTTGGTCAAAGGTTAGCTATCCCCTCGGGCTGTGGATGCTTTGTTATTGATTTATTCTCTTTGTGCTTTTTTTTTGCTCAGGCAGCTTTTTTTATTCCTTGTACTTAGCTTAAAAAAAAAAATTTCTACTTGTAGAAGAGATTCTGACCTGAAATCTTTGCTTTGAGCTCACCGACTGATCAGATTAGGTTTGATAGTCATTGTAACATTTTTTTAGAAGTTGGGTGGGCCAAAGATTTTCACTTACATTCAAAGTGGTAACTGTTCTTCTTGTCAGCCCAAATTTGTGGTCTTGGAAGTGTCCCGAAGCCTCCCAAAATGAACACTGTACTTTGAATTGGAGCATAGAGGTAGAAAATGAGCACCTGTAGTTTGTACAATGTACATGTACTCCAACTTGGCCATCAAGCTCACACAATCTGACCATGTGCGAGAGAGACTTCTAAGGCTAAGGGATTCAGGTGTACAACCTGTAGTGTCTTTTCAGCATACATGTAGGCTACATGTACATGTATGTGCCCACCTGCTTGCAATTAGTGGAGACCAATTTATGTACTGTACCATACTAGCACCAAACACAAGCTCTGTATGCTGTACCTGTATATTATGTCCATTATTATTTGCAGTACTGTATGCTTGACTGTGTAGTCCTGATATGGAACAACCAGGTGTTAACTCTAGGAGAATTTGGGCAGTTTTATTAAATAACTTTGAGTACTTTGCAGTTCAAGTTTCCAGACTTCAAACTGAGTGCACAGTATACATGTAATAATGAATTTTCAGCACTGTATTGGAGACTGTTGAAACTATTGGAGGGTCCTCGTTCTCTAATTGTTTAAAAAAAAACAGTTTAAAAGATTAAGGTTGCAGATGTGTTTACCCACCAACTGTACAAAATTGAAAAACCAACTGATTGCAAGCTGAGAGTTATATTTGCCACTGACAAGAAAAATGTGGGGGGGGGGATTTGAGACAGCACCATTAAAAGAGTCCAGACAGGAGGCAAATTCGCATTATGGCTGCATACATGTGCATGTATTACCTGAATACAATGCACAATCACTGTTCACCCCCCTTTGCTCCTAGACGCTAATTTGACACACACTGATACCTCTGAATAGCACACCCAACCAGATGAACATGGCTACCGGTACATGTATTATCTATGATTAATTTCTACTGCTTAATGAAACTGTACGCAGTAATTGTGCAGTTATAAATAGCCTCTGAGCCATACATGTAGGTCTTCATGCACATATGTTTTACATTTTTGTACATTCATTGGTTCATAAAATTTACATTGTGTAAAAAAAGTACAAAACCTGAAACTGTGTTCAAAAGGCTGAATATGGAAATACTTGTGTGGCTTCATGTACTGAGCCAGGGTGTCCCCTGCCTATATGAGACAGCTCAAGGTCAGTTTTTTGTGTCCCAGTCACATCTGACCTTTGATTTTGTAAGTTCAGCACACATTTTCCAATTTCCAAGAGTGACGAATTAATGCAAATTACCTGCCAAACAAATTGTAATATGTATGTAGTTTGAAATCAGTTCCGGTGATATTCAATCAATTCCGGTAATAATTTCTGAAATTACCCACATGTGTATGTAGGGTCCTTACATTACATGTACCGGTATGAAGAGTGTATTCATGAATGTATTCTACAAAAACTTTAAATACCCAGTATGTACATGTACACGTACATGTTACTTCAAGAACAATATTCTTACATGCATGTACATGTACAGTGTATACAATGGTATGTGTAACTGGCAACTTTGGCAAGTTGGCCAGAATCAAATAGAACGGATGCCAAAATCAGAATCAGAATTGAGACTCCTTTTGTGAGTCTGCCAAGTCTTTGATGGAATCTTATGACATTAGTGAGTCTCTTTTGTAGAGAATTTCATAGAGGGGTTTTTTTTGGAGGGGGGGAGGGAGAGAATGGGAGGGGAGAACGGTTTGGAAGATGTACCGGTATTCATGAATGTACTCTACAAAACCTTCAAATACCCAGTATGTACGTGTGCCAATATTTTTTCTTCAGATGTTCACACATGTACCGGTGTGTAAACACGTACGGTACATGTACATACGGGATATTTTAATGTGCCAACAAGATCAGTTCATACTGACAACAGATCTGCTTCAACGTGAGCCTTGGCTGGAAGACTGCTTACAGTTCATTTACTTGAGGCTGACGCAGAGTTCTTTTCCAACAAACCAAAGTTTTTAGAATTCATAATCAGCCCGGTGCACGTACGCATATATGTACATGTACATGTAAACATGTGTACATGTCACTACATTCATTTCAGTGCCACACTTATGCACATACATGTACATATACAGTAAATATCATTTGTGCCCAGGCTGTGTAGCCAGCCCAACACAAGATGAGCATGAAATTGGTCAATGAAATTATCATTTGCTCAACTTCATCCACACATATGTAAGTTAGGGCTGTGCCGAATATCCGAATATTCGATCAATTATCGCATATTCGAATATTATTTTCTGAATTTGAATATTCTAATGCAAAATTCATGAAAAGGAAGGAAGAATGGTTTTTCTTATTTTAAATGAGAAAAAATGCACTATGGAGGCTTGTTTCAAAAAGTTTCAAATGAAAAGCAACAGAAATCTTATGGCGACTCAACAAGAAAATTATTCATCAAAAAATTTAAATGGAAAAGAAATTTTCAACAGGGCAAGAGGTACTGTTCGTCTCTGAAATCTTACTAAATCATGGCTGGAGATACTCCTAGACGTGAGAAGCTATTAAAGTGATTATAATGTACAATTGTGTGCATTATTCATATTGATTTTGTATAATTTGTTTAATCATCAATAATTTGCTGGTCGGTAAGACTGAATATTTAGATATTCGATGGAATTGAAGGTCAAATATTCGAATCTTGAATGATTTGAATTGGCTCAGCCCTATACCTAGTCAACATTTATGTACATGGACATGTGCAAGTGGCATTTCAATGACAGTTCAGATTGCATCAAATTAATAATATCTGATGCAACACAGTATGGTTATTAACATATTAATATGTAATTTAACTGCAATTGAAACTGCTCTATTTTTCTTAACAGAATATGTACATGTATGAAAATTAAATTGATGAAGTACTGTATTTAGATGTTAAACTGTTACTTCAAGAACAACATTCTTACATACCGGTACAGTGTATATGTACATGTAACTGGCAACTTTTGGTGAATTGGCCAGAATCAAATTGAACGGATGCCAAAATCAGAATCAGAATTGAGACTCCTTTTGTGAGTCTGCTAAGTCTTTGATTGAATCTTGTGACATTAGTGAGTCTCTTTTGTAGAGAATTTAATTGAGGTTTTCGGGAGGGGAGGGAGAAGGGTTGGAAATCGGTCTTGAACAGAATTTCAAAAATATTGAAGCAACCGCACATGTACCGGTAGCTTAGATTTATTTGTGTCGTATGGGCTGGTATACATATACCGTACATGTACATGTACTTGCACATCAGTAATTTGTATGTTCTAGTACACTTGTACTATTGTACATGTACCAGATATACCAGTATACCGGTATGTATGCAAGCAAATGATTTGTAATGGTCTGGTAACTGTACATGATATTCTCCACTCTGAACTCTCTTGCTTCTTTTGAATAATGACCAGAGTGACCACAATTGACAACATACATGTACATGGTTACATGTACATGTACCTGGTTACATGTACATGTACATTGGCCACCAGGTGGCTATACGTGTAATACCTCCATGAAGGTTTTTTTAATTTATGTTAAGGAGCTTGTGAAGTTTACATCAGAGAATTGCAGTCGCTTTAAGAAGTCGAATGCCGTACGCATTCCTTTTGAGTGCCTTACAAATGAACGTTAGTAGCTGATTGTATCATGATTTTATCATCACTCCAAGCTGTGAGTTATAAATAGAAAACTTCCCTTACTTCCCTTGGGCTCTTCACGAACAGGCATGGAAACCAAAACCAACGCCCTGTTTAGATCTCACTCATGGTGTGCTGCTGAAATCTGAGGTTTGGATTTATCAGTTTATCTGATATGAACTGTACTTTGAATCAGTTAGAGCCTGCGAGTCATTTTGCCGGATTGTTTCCACTCCAAGCAGGCCATTTATTACTGTTGCACTTTAATTACACTTTGTAGGGTAGGTTGCCGGTTTTGAATTTGAGTCACATCCCGTTTTGTGCAGTCACGTTTATGCTTAACACGTGCAAAGGGCAACACGTGACAATCGCTGACAAGTTTCTTCTTTTCTTGTACTGCAAGTTTCACATTACAATCGCAAAACACACACTTGCACGTAGTGTGTTCACATCAGAGTCCACATGTTGCACAATTGCTGAAGTCTGGTCCTAAAGCAGACGTGTATCTAATTGGTTTTTAGCGATTGAGACTGTCCAAGTGAGTGCCTTTAACCATTTGTTTCCCCCCCATGTGGTCATGCTTACATGTACCTGTCACTGACATGCACCCTTTTTTCAGGCAACAGTACAATTTGTGACAAGTTTCGTAATAACAGCAAGACGGTCTCAACAAACAAGGAGCATGCTGACCAAAACCGTCAACAGTCCAGGTAAAACTTAAAAGTGATCATTAACTGGTTGAAGAAATTTCTGTGTCTTTTCAAATCATGCGTGTTTGAATTTTGAGAAAAGTGAATAGACAACTACAGAGAATGCTTGTTTTTGAGTCTGAGCAAAAAAACCACAATGTCTTATTGTTCAATTACAGACAAAATGAAGAGGAATTTTAGTGTATTTTATTTTTTCCAAAGGTTTTTTTTTCTACTCATTTCTTGTTTTCTTTTTTCTGTTTTTTTAACATGATGTCATGATGACATCATCACCTGATTTATTATGGAATTTTAAATATTTGATATTTCGCCCGTATGTTTTGTACATATTTTTCAACAGCCACGCACCGTGAGTCAAACTTCCATCCCTTTTTCTCATCACCTCTTTGGGCATTAAACAAAGTTATATGACTTTGAAACTTTACACACTTAAGTAACTTATAGCAAGGGTCTCTTCCGAAACATGACGTCATGATGACCTCATCACCTGATTTATTGTGGAATTTAAAATCTTTAATATTTTACCATGTTTTTGTACACATTTTTCAAGAGCAATACTAAGGCCCTTTTTTCGATCTGACTCAATATTTATTACGGTAGGTCTACACTCAGTCCTCAGGGTAGACAGGGTCCAAGAAAAAATCATCATCATGACGTCACCACGTATCACACGATATGGCATTTAAGGTGCAAATTTCAGAGGCCTATATCTCCTGAAGTACATGTACACGTCAAATTGGGTTGAAACTTTGCAGATATTTCAAAACGGATGTACATGTACTAAAGACGAATTTTGACCTCAGGTGATGATGGCGTCATGGAGTGACAAGTCATGTGACATTAAAGGTGCACTCTCTGAAGCACTATGTATCTCCTGAAGTACATGTCCCATCGGGTTGAAACTTTGCAGATACATGTAGCTGGAAAAGGAAGGGGTATAGACAAAAATTGCCCTCATGTGATAATGACCTCATCAAGTGACAAGTCACATGGCCTTTAAGGGGCAATGTTTAAAGCCCTTTATCTCCCAGAGTCCATGTGCGATTGAATTGAAACTTTGCAGACAAAATAAACTTTAAAAGTGACATTTAACTTCCATTCTTTAAAGTCCTTTTCTCACTTTCTTTAAAACACAACATTCAAAATGCGGAAAAGTCTTATGCTCTGTTCTCGAATCAGCATAAACTTCCCGTTTGGATACTTATACATGTATGCTCTTACACACATGTACATGTACATGTATATACATGGGTAAATGCATCTACTATGGAGCTGAATACTTGTACCACGCAGTAATTTTTCAATAATTTTTGAACATTGTGAGACCTGACGCAGAATGGTGAGACCTGACACAGAATGGTGAGACCTGACGCAGAATGGTGAGACCTGACACAGAATGGTGAGACCTGACACAGAATGGTGAGACCTGACACAGAATGGTGAGACCTGACACAGAATGGTGAGACCTGACGCAGAATGGTGAGACCTGA